AAAATGTGTGTTAATGCATGCGGAAGAATATCTCCAGAACGTTTGCAAACTCCCATGCAGAGTAATTGGTCCTCGCTCTCACTCAAGGGCCGATAACTCTGCATGGGAGATTGAAAGTTTGGAGGGAAAATATGAATGCCTACTTAAATCCAATCTATTAGAAAAATCGATATATTACTGAAAAGTGTCCACCATGCACTTGCACTGCACTATTATTAATATAGTATAAAATTGAGAATGGAAATGGAGAATGTGTCAAAGAGACAACAACCCGACCATAGAACAGACAACAGCAGAAGGTCACCAACAGGTCTTCAATGCAGCGAGAAATTCCCACACCCGGAGGCGTCTTTCAGCTGGCCCCTAAACAAATATATATACTAGTTCAGTGATAATGAACGCCATACTAAACTCCAAATTGTACACAAGAAACTAAAATTAAAAATAATACAAGACTGACAAAGGCTAGAGGCTCCTGACTTGGGACAGGCGCAAAAATGCGGCGGGGTTAAACATGTTTAATATGAGATCTCAACCCTCCCCCTATACCTCTAGCCAATGTAGAAAAGTAAACGCATAACAATACGCACATTAAAATTCAGTTCAAGAGAAGTCCGAGTCTGATGTCAGAAGATGTAACCAAAGAAAATAAACAAAATGACAATAATACATAAATAACAACAGACTACTAGCAGTTAACTGACATGCCAGCTCCAGACTTCAATTAAACTGATTGAAAGAGTAGAATAGAATGATATACAAATGGACGAAAATTATATATATACATGTAACTGTAATATACAAATATTAATATAATATATAACAACAAACCAGAGTATACTGATTTGTATCACTTCAATATCATATTTATTACGGTGAGGTTGAATTCCCTGTCATTTATTAATCATCCACACACGAACTTGTCTAAGAAAAAAAAATTATATCTGTACATTAAACTCACTTTCAAAATAAATAATTATTTTGTAAATAATTGTTTGTTTTGATATTGTAACACAGTGATGACTGCTGTACCCATATTTTGACTATTTTATTTATAATGTCTGTTTTGTTCACGCATCGTTGTAAATATAACGGAATTTGATAAGACTGTCGTACAAGTGAGAGGTTTAGCGCTATAAAACCAGGTTCAATCCACCATTTTCTACATTTGAAAATGCCTGTACCAAGTCAGGAATATGACAGTTGTTGTCCATTCGTTTGATGTGTTTTGTCATTTGATTTTGCCATGTGATTAGGGACTTTCCGATTGAATTTTCCTCGGAGTTCAGTATTTTTGTGATTTTACTTTTTTTTTTCAGGTATAGAGATGTGATTTTTTTTTTCTGAGACAAGTGCTTGTGACCATCCACATGAACTTGCAGTCATCCGATGGTCAGTACTTCAGTACTTTGATTATAGATGTATCAGACAATGATATATTCTTTTAATGTAATTTCATAATTCTTAATATGTATATATAAAGATTCATTGATTGTAAAAGATATAGATTACACAAAAAGTATTGTATGCTAAAAAAATTTCTCTTTTATTGATTAAAAAAGATACAAGTTACACAAAAGTTATGCTTAAAATTTAAATGTCACACAAAATACTTTTTAAATTTAAGTCAGAATAAGTAAGGTTTAGATATAATTTTGTAATTATATGACTGAATAGATATAAGTACTTTTCATCACAAAACTTAAATATGATTTCACACAAATCTTCACGCATAGAGACGTTTCTAAGCCATCAAAATCTAATCAAGGGTTAAGGAAATTATAACATATTTTGACTTGTACAGGTTTAATACAAACTAAATTTTTATGAATTACTCAGTTTATTTATACTGTTTATTCATGCTGAAAAAAAGTCTTTCAATGCTATTTAAGTGACTTTTTTTACAACTTTAATACCAGCCAGGCTTTCTGCTTAAAATTGAAGAAGCACAGTTGACCATTATGCTGTGTTAGGGTTCAACTTCTGCTTCATGATAAAGTTTGGTGAAAATTGAATACATGCTATATCCTTTAGTGTATGGACTATTGAAGGAGATTACAATCACTATTGTATGAATGCTTATTCCATTTAAGTGTTTTAATTCTATCTTGGTGACATTCTTCAAGTTGCTACCTTCTGGGTACTTAAAATAAGGGGTATGTGTTCCTTTTAGATTTTGATTATAAATGAACGAATAGATATGTGGAGTAAAGGTCAATGAGACAGCTATCCAACAACACAAAAAACCAAAAACATCAAGGTCATTACACTTTATTCAACAATAGACATGTTTCTATACATTATGTCAAACTCTTATTCAACTAGAGTATAGAAAAGTGGTGAATGGAATTACAAGAGACTATCAGAGATATGACATCAACACTCAATTCCTGAAAACCACTAAAAACATTTAACCTCGTCAGTGGTTGTCTTTTGTCATATTTAAATGTTTTTAGTGGTTTTCAGGAATTGAGTGTTGATGCCATATCAAATCCTGAAAACCACTAAAAACATTTAAATATGACAAAAGACAACCACTGACGAGGTTACTGACATGAGACATACACATGAGATCTCAATGTTATAAGAGAGAGGTTACTGACATGAGACGTACACATCAGATCTCAATGTTATAAGAGAGAGGCGAAAGATACCAAAATAATAATAAAACTCATAAATCGAAAACAAAATGGATTGTGGTTACGACAATTGGAACGTATCCGTCGTCACCTGTTAAACAGATATTCCATAATGGTCAACCAAACTTGTGATGGCATCCATAAAATTTTCGTAACGGATAAATTCAACTTTACCACTTGGAACTCTTGGATTAATAGCTTCCTTGATATACTGTATCAAAGAATGCTCTTAGTAAATGAAAGCAAACTCAAAGAATCAAACCAGCTGATATGAAATCATGCTGACTAATATGCTATTACTACTTTTTTGGATACTTGTTTATATTTATGCACAGTTTGTGTGCTCTTTTCACAAAAAATCTCACGACTAAAATTGATGATGAGTATACTGAAATGTTCTTGTTCATTGTATGGATGATTGATACACCATATTTATGTCTGGGCTTTAGAAATATACAAAAATACAATTGTCCTTTGAATTGAAAAATTTAACAGACTGCATGTTTGATCAGGTCTGTTTTATACCTAGATCGCAGACTATTAATGGCATATCTCTAAATTAAAAGCTAAATTTACCACTGGTATTTCAAACAAGTGGGTTTTTTTCTTGTCACATTTAGATCTATTTGATTATCCGAGGCCAATTATCAGGTTTTTGCATTGCAAAAGTGTATAAGGTCTTGGAGACAAATTTTCTATAAATAACATAATTGCCTACAGTTATTTTATATGTAAAATGTGAATGAAATATGTGCTGATGTGCTGCAGAATTTAATGATATCCAAGTGATGTAACATATGGACAAAAGAAAAAACTGATATGTTTAATTAAAGATAAGGAATCTCTCATCACAAAATAACTTAACTTCAAAAGATGGCTATAATAGGAAAATTGAAGCTGCATTTAGTTCTTCAGTAATGGTATGATCAACATCATACAAATAGTAGAAGACACTATTTGAAATTAAAATCAATACCAAGTTGTGAACTAGCGCGTGTTAAATTTCAACTAAAGAAATGATCTCTCTTCTGGAATAATGGAGTAAAAGTTTAGTGATCATTCCTCTGGGGACTCCTCTTTTCATTTCTGATCATATTCATGTTTCTTGTATAAAATTTTCCATTCTGATGCAGTCCATGGTAATATGTAGGAGGAAATATATAATTAGATTGAGTTTGACATCTCCTGTGGGTGTGGGGAATATTTTTAATTGGTTGCAAGTAGTTTTCACAATTTTGTAACATAATTTATAATTTTGTAAAGCAGTATGACCTTTATTTGTAGGTTGTTATATGTTAATTGTGTTATGGGCATGACCTAATTAAGACCTTCTCTTTTGCGCTGTAAATACTGTCAGATGTCTTTATAGGATTGCCAGTTGTCCTACCCAAGGTCAGGGTTTCTCTTTGGTCACCTTGATATAGCCAAGTGTGCTGTCATTAAACACCAACAATCAATCAATCAGATGAAAGTTCGGGATTTAGTTTCAGCATTTCCAACATTGTTTTAGTCCTGCTGTGAAGCATTAATGGAATATAGTTTTTAATCATTCTGTCAATCACTCACTAACTGGAACATACAGTGGAGTGGTAAAAGAATTTGACGATTTAGGATATTAGAGGCTTTTATCATGTTTATTTGTCATTATTATTTTATTTTCATGAAACATGGACAAATCTAAATATTATTGTCTAATTAGGTAAGAATGAGATAAAGGCAAAAAGGGAGCACTATTGATTGTCTTTGGTTTGTAAAGGGGAACCAGAATTTCTCTGTTTAAATCTTATCAAAGGCGATATTCCACAGATGAGATGAGGCTGAGAAACTTACTCAAGTTTGAAAGAACATAGACTATCTGTTTATCACTATTTTCTTAGGTAATGCAATGGTGTTTGCTTATAAAATCATCATCAAAAGAAAATTTAAGAAAATAGCAATAAAAAAGTCATATAAAAGTTTTTGCAGAATAAGTGCAAGCATTTTGTAGCATGCAATTAATCAACACATCAATTTAAACAGTTCAATTTGTGAAAGTAAACACACAACACTATGCACGGAGCCTTAACAACAAAAAAGGAATCATTTTCAGATTTCTTATTTGGTAGTACAACTGAACAAATTTTTGGCTGAACATTTCTCTCTGACTTAAAGTGTTGTCAAATCATTCCCTAAATGCAAAGTAAATCTAACAGCTGGTAGACTTCACTGAGCGGATATTTACCTTTGATTTCAAGAGGTCACATGTACTCTGTACTTTCCCAAAAAGTGTAAAAAAATATAACCCAATGATTACATTTTGTACAACTTTATTTGAAATTGAATAAGTCATCACTTTTTATTATTATTCTTCATGTTTTTTAGTGGTGCCTTCTCAGAAGTATTCTTAGTAGAAGATCGAACTCACGCTGGAACATTACAAGCCGTGAAATGTATTGATAGGAAAGGTTTACTTGGCAAAGAAGACTCACTAGAGAATGAAATAAGAGTTCTACAGAGGTATTGTATAGATTCCTATGAGTTAACATTTGTCAGTTCTACAGAGGTATTGTATAGATTCTTTTGAGTTACATTTGTCAGTTCTACAGAAGTATTGTATAGATTCTTATGAGTTACATTAGTCAGTTCTACAGAGGTATTGTATAGATTCGTATGAGTTACATTTGTCAGTTCTACAGAAGTATTGTATAGATTCTTATGAGTTACATTTGTCAGTTCTACAGAAGTATTGTATAGATTCCTATGAGTAACATTTGTCAGTTCTACAGAGGTATTGTTTAGATTTGTATGAGTTACATTTGTCAGTTCTACAGAGGTATTGTATAGATTCCTATGAGTTACATTTGTCAGTTCTACAGAGGTATTGTATAGATTCTTATGAGTTACATTTGTCAGTTCTACAGAAGTATTGTATAGATTCTTATGAGTTACATTTGTCAGTTCTACAGAAGTATTGTATAGATTCCTATGAGTAACATTTGTCAGTTCTACAGAGGTATTGTTTAGATTTGTATGAGTTACATTTGTCAGTTCTACAGAGGTATTGTATAGATTCTTATGAGTTACATTTGTCAGTTCTACATAGGTATGTGTAGATTCTTATGAGTTATATTTGTCAGTTCTACAAAGGTATTGTATAGATTCTTATGAGTTACATTTGTCAGTTCTACAGAGGTATTGTATCGATTCTTATGAGTTACATTTGTCAAGATTGATTGATTGTTGTCAGCTTAATGTGCAAAGGCAAATATTTCATGTATTGTCAGGATTTTAACTAGTACAAAAGTAAACCTTGTCCAAAAAATGGATTGGGCTTGAACACTTAGGTCATCATTAACCAACAGGAAAAGAAAGCAGAGTTAGATAAGGAAAACAAAGGAGAAGGTTCACAAATGGTTAATACAGGCCCTAAAAATCTAGGAAAATTCAAAACAATGATAGCATTATCATTTTTACAGAATTTTATATTTGTCTTATTGACACAGCATTACATTATTTCAGTAAACAGGTTTTAATTTTAGGTGTAAATATAACATCATAACTATGTATTTTAAGTGTTTGGCTTTTTCTGGATAAATTTAGAATGATGCAATATTAAATGCATGCTCCTAGCAAAATGAATTTTTGTGGAGGACAATTTATGTATGTATCTTACCTTTAGACTAGGAATGTCAACTCGGTAAAGATTTACTAATCGAATACTTTTTGGATTTACTTAGCGATACTCGAGTACTCGCTCGTTAAAACATTTACAAAATGGAAACACAAAATTATACGCTTTTTATGTATTGTTGGTCTTTGTCTTATGAACAGAAACCCCTCAACATTATTACCTAGAACTAGATATTAGCTCAAGGAATTTTAGACCATAATTAATAGCTCATTTTCTAAATGTGGTTATTATGTAAACTGGCAATAGTCTAATCAAGTAATTAATATCTATAGAAAAATGATTACTAAAACAACAGTATTTTGAAACCGTAAAAAAAACACATTTAATAATCACAAATGGGGTGATGATTAGAACTTACTGATGCCTTTAATCATTTTCTGAGAGTCGACACAGGGTGCAACAAATTTGTTTTTCTTTAAAAATATTATCTTGTCAACTTTTTCTGGGACGAGGAGATTTCTGAACTTTGTTAGGTAACTGACAGTCCTGCTGATGAAAATATATTCTCTGACGGTACAGAAATGAGGAAATGACTAAGATTAGCTAAAAGTGTGAACCTTGGAAAAGTGCTCTTGTTCATAGCCTACATCTGTTTGGAAGAATTTTAAATTACAGTTAAATGCAAAACATTTGAAACGTATTTTAATTTTTATCAATTTTCATTAATATTTAATGTCCCTGGAAGGGGCTCTCAATAAAATTATGTTTTGTTTAAGCTTAAGAAAGCAACAACATTCTAATAGGAAACCGATTAGTATCATTTTGGTATTCAATACTCAGTAATACCGAGCTATACTCTAGTACTCAAGTACTTGTTGACATCACTACTTTAGACACGTTTAGACACATCTGCTTTGTACAGAAAGTGCAGCGAACATATCAAAAAGTTTAACCAAAACAAAGACTTCAAATGATTATACCACTGGACTTCCCATCTTTAATAAGCAGACACTTTTTTTTTTATCACAGTCTTTCAGATGATTCAGTCTACCATTGCAAATGTAATTACTTTGTGTCCAACTGGTAATTGCTGTTTATTCCAATTTGCTGAATAAACAGAGACCCAGTTGATCACAGTCCATGATAACATTGAACAGGGAATTTTCTGGAAGCAATTACAAAAGTGGTAATCTTATAAGGAGTAGTAGATCCAAGCTTTGACATAGTGCTTCAGTTGTGACATTAAACTTTAAGTCAATAACTGGAGACCCAAGGTGAAAAAAAGGAAGTAATCAAATCATTAAGATTATAATGATGCATCATGCTTTTAAAAATAAGGTAAAAATTAGTTAAGCTGAACTTAAACTATGTTCACCAGTATGTACTCTTTAACATGTGTTCCAAAGTTCCTCCAGAGCTGACTTGCAGTCTTCAAATCCTATTTTACATATATAACTTCATCCAATGAAAAGTATATCAAAGATGTTTTTATTCTAAAAAGGTCTCTGTAGAATAAAACATGAAGCCATTACTGACATTACAGATAAGAATGAAATATAACTAAATATGACAAGGAAATAAGGTGCTGTTGTTCTTTCCTTAAGTATGTTCTTTGATAATTAATTTGTATGCCCCCGCTCTGAAAGGAGGGTGTTTACTGGTTAACAGCTGTCCCTTCTGTCAGTCTGTCTAGATCACATTAAATTTTGGTCACCTTTTTCTCAGGAATTACAAATTTAGTAAGAAGCTTCATGTGAGAATGCTATACTGTTTGATGCATTTTCACTGTCATGTCTTATCCATTTCTTGTTTAATGATTACTTATATATTCCACTATTGACACCTGTTACTCATTTGAAAATCCTTGATAAGGACACATACAATAGTGGATTGGTAGTAGAGTTATCTCTTGTCTATAAAAGATACTTAGGGGACTGTCCAACATTCAAAACTCATAGCTTGAAGTTAAACTGAAAACACCCTAGTGTATTACCAAATTTCAAAACAATCAGTACATATATAAATTCTCTAACAGTGGAACTCTTTGGCATTTACTGCATGAGGAAGTAAAATTATACAATTCATGTCATAAAACATTTATTTGTTTCTAAAACAAGTTGAGACATCTATTTCAATTTCAATTTTATCACTTAAATTTCTGAAATTGGTTTTCATAATATGATCCAGTAAAGACAAGCTACTTGTTAATGCACAAAATTACAAGTTGAGAAAGAATTTTGTTATATTATAAATTGCCCATGGTTTGAAGTTGTTTTCCAAAAATTGGTAAAAATTGATTTTTTTGCTCAGAACCTTTGTTCAGCAATCAATGAAGTTGATTGTTTCTAGTAAGTATGACTCCCATTTTAATCTGCTTGCTTTGACTAAGAACTGATTCAGAATAGCTCATATGCTTTTTCAGTTTAACAATTTATAACTACTGTATTATATACATCAACTGTATTGTACATAGATAATGGGTAATTTTTTTTATCATTTATATTTCATATCAGTTTTGTGTCATCTCTCTGCTTTTTGGTATAATATGTCTTCAAGCAGAGTTATCTAATATATATATATATTGAATTTCATTTGATCTAAATACATAAAAAAAAATAGTAGCGGTAAAGAGTTTCATCAAGTTTCTGTAACTATATGAATTATATTTATTAGCAATCATTTGCCTTTTAAGGGCATACGATACAGTTACAGGGGAGATAATGACGTTGCTAACGTAAATTGTTATTTTCGCGACGTCAAACTGTGACTTATCGGGAAAAGATGCAGTTTTCGACTGATTTTTATCATTCAAACTGATTTAACTTGAAAACGAGTTCATGGACCCCTCTTTTTTAAAATGGCATTTGGTTTGATTACGTATGAAGATTATGTTTATCAATTTTCATGAAAAAGTCAATAGTGCAATTTTTTGAAATTTGATAAATATACAGCAAAAAATGACGTTTTTTTCTACAATCATGATCATTTGATTAATATGAGTTATTTGTAAAAATGAAATGTACAAATTTATAGAACATTTATATAAAACAGAAATTACAAATAATTTAACAAAAAACAGCATAATATGTTTATCTTTTAAAACAAAAAAGTTATGTATTTCTATCGAAAAGAAAAAAACGTCCACAAATCCAAATTTTGAGGAAATATCTGAAATTTCAACCTCAATTTACTCAAAAAGTAGCACATGATGGTATATTTTTTATTAAATATTTGATTTAATCAGGTAAAAAATAGCCTAAATGCAAATTTTCATCAAAATTTCATTATGGGATCAAAACTGTATCGTATGCCCTTAAGTCAATAGTCTTTATAAGATGGTAGTAGTTATGTCTTTGTTTTGCAGATATCAATGATTACAAAGATATTATTTACCAATTTGTTTATTCACATTTCAGTGTAATTGATCATTGTAAATATCTCATCTGAAACTTAAGATTTGATGTGACAAAATCGTTGACTTGTACAGACTTCACGAAAAGTACTGGCAGTGCTTGTCAAAAAAAGTATTGACACAGATCATTCTCCTTTTGCTTAGTTTGCCTATAACATGTATTGATTAAAATGTTCTTTGCAATAAATAAGTCTAACACAAATAAGTCAGTCTATATTAAGGAGTAGAATACAGACATAGACCAAATGTAATCAAACCAAAACATACAAAAAAGAAAAACATCTATTAAATATTTTCACCTGAATATGTATGCTACATGCGGATCATTTTTTGTAAACAAAAGAAATAATATACCATAAATATAGAAATAAGAAGATGTGTTATGATGATTGCCAATGAAACAACTCTCCACCAGAGACCAAATAGCATAGAAGTTAACAGCTATAGGTCACCGTACAGCCATCAACCATGAGC